ATTATTCTTCTGTTCCAAAACAGTAACTTGACAGCTTTCAAATTTCTTTTTCATTGAAGCATATACATATTCTAAATATATTTCAGGACAGATAAAATAATTTCCTATTATTCCTATCTGCATATATATCTGATAACATTATACGTGTTATCTGATAGAAAGCCTGATAAGTTTTGTGTTGTGATCTAAGTAAGTTTATACTTTAATAAGTGCCAAACACAATACAATTATTTCTAAACAAACAGTATCTCTCTGGGTAAATACACGTTTACAGAAATTTTGAAGACACTTCAGTATATGTTCATTTAGCATCTCTTTTTAAAAAATGTAATATAAAGGTGCATATAGAAAAAATAATCTGTGAGCTTTTGACTAGGAAAGTATCTGAAAATGGCCTTAAATCTTTGATTGCATGTTTAAGGCTACCTTTATCTTCTTATTATAACTAAGACATTTGGTTTTAGATTTGAAAGTATTATTCTTTACATTTACTCTTGATATTGACTTCCCTAAAAAGTTGTTATTCCCAGATAACTTTTATCCTAATTTGACTTGGTACGTTTATTGGAGAGTAAATTTATTTTAAATTTAAAAACTGTATTGCAATTTAGAAATCTCACATAGGAATAATGGATGCTTACTTGTAAGAGAGTGCCTTTTCAACTTCAGTGTGAGTAGCAGGTAACCAGCCTTGCTGAATTAATGACTAAATGATTTTGGAAGGAAATTCCATTTAAAAGTGTTGGAAGTCAGAAGATCTCCAAGAAATTAATATTTCTTTCATACTTCACATAATTTTATTTACTGTATGCGGAATCTACATTAGAACATATTTCAAGCACAGCATTTAACATTCTTATAAAGTCTGTTTTGTAGTGCCTAGAATGGTCATATTGATTTTAAGATTTTGATTAATATTACTATGGACAAGTTTCTTGCTGTAATTTAAGAGTTATCTCACTGTTGATTATTTACCATTATTATTATTATTATTATTATTAGTAGTAGTAGTAGTAGTAGTAGTAGTAGTAGTAGTATTATGTGCTGTTTGTTTCCTTTTTTAGGGGAGCCAAGCCCCCCTTCAATTCATGGACAACCAGAGAGTGGCAAGAGTTTTAAACTTAGCATAACTAAACAAGATGATGGAGGTGCTCCAATACTGGAATATATTGTCAAATACAGAAGTGTAAGTATTTCTGCCAATCAAAATAAATGAAATTATGCTTGTTAATATCTGCTTTTAATGCAGAGAAAATTGTTTATAATAACAATTGTTTATATATTGTTATTTACCAAAGTGGCTTGAAATCTAGAAAATAATTTTTAAAAAAAGCTACAGTGTATTTTCTTTTGGAACTAAGTTGCAGCTGCCAGCATATAAAATAAAAATTGAAAAAAACCCTAAAATTCAGTCAGCTATTCCTAAAAGTATACTGAAAATTCATGTTATCAAGAAAGCTATATTCTTTTTTGGTTGCATAGTGAAAGTGGGACATTCGTGTTCAGCTTTTAAAAATACAGTAAATTAGCAAATATTAAAATTGCACATTTAAGGGTTATTTGAACAGCAAATTTGTAATTTATATTATAAATGTGTCTGTATTGATAGAAAGCTATATTGGAGTGCTCCATATTAGTTGTATTCCTTATTACATTAATTAGCTGATCACCTTTCATATCTTTTATCTGCCTGAATTCCAAGTCTCATCTTACAAAAGCCATTGGCACATCATTGGGAATTTCATGAGTTTCAGGGCACATATCTGTTCTTAGACAGCCATTGGGCAGAGTTTTGTGCATTCTGCCTTCTAAAAAGTTCTGTTTTGGTGTTCTCTCATCAAATCTGTCAAGTTTAGAAAACAGGATTTTCTGCAGTGTATAATATATTTTAAAAAATTGTGTAGATTTTTCATTCCTGATGTACTGTGTTTAGAAATGATTGGATTGAAGAAGTAGCTGCAGAGCTGGCAAAAGTGACGTATTTCATTCCAGTATAAATTTTTAAAAAATTTCCTTGTGTAGTACTTTATTGAGTAGACCCATTTTACCTGGGTGTTACAGCAGAATTTCATGTCCATGAACAGTCTAGGAAATTGGGAATGTAACCTTGGATATCCAGTCATGTTAAATGGAAGATAGTGAGGACTGTATTTATTCACAGAAAGAAACAATTTTTGAGAAAGTGACTATAGAACCTGTTGGAATGTTACCAAAAGGAAAAAACAGTTCCTTAACTTGTAATAGGTTTTCTCACATTTCCTCATATTTACTATAATGTAACTTTTGGTTATAAACTGGGGATTATCTGAATGCTAAACCTGGTATGTAAAACTATTCTCCCATGCTATATTTAACAAAAGAAGATTAATAGTGCAAATTATTTGAGAAATATTTGGTAGTACTCTTAGGAGTAGTCTGGGACAATGACCCGAAGTTATTCTGCTATCACTGATCCCTAAATCTTAATTGATCTTTTTAAATGACTTTCCATCCAGTGAATACAGTTGATATAAAAGAAAAGTAATAGCAAAGAAGACGAGAGTAATAAAATATGCAATACAAGATAAAAATGGAACTTTGCAGGGTTGAACTTCCTAGTTAGTTAACAATGTCTTTAAGTATTTACTACTGAGTAGAAAATAAACAGTTTGGATATAATACAGTCATGCAGCATATGGAATTTAATCTGTTTCTATGATTAAAAGAAGGAAAATTATTTTGGTTCTCTCCTGAAAAATTTGGAAATCTAATATTGATCTTGTGTTTTTACTAAGGTACATTATTATTGGATAAAAGATTATTTTTTCTGTGTGGTATTGGAAGGTAAATGTGCAGCTTAAGCAGTAAATGGAAACTTGAAAGATTGAAGAAAGCTTTTCCTTGGACCTCGAACTCCTTGAACTTCCAATTGAAAAAGCAATTTGACTAAATTAAAGGGCTTTCTACAACAAAAGCAGAATTTTTTGTGTGTGTGTTTTAATCAGCAAGAATGAATGCTATTTAAAGTTCATAATTATCTGTTGACTGCTTCTCTTCCATCTTCCCCATTGGTCGTGTTTAATTAGCTTTCCTATAACTCTTGCCAGCCTCATTATTAGCACCTGGACCAATGTATTTGCTTGCATGTTTGAAGAGCATATTTGATAAAAACCAATACATCAATGGCTTTTTTCTTTAAAAAGTTAATTCAGCCCTGTGTAAGTTTTATACAGATTTTTATTTTTTTTTTTACTGGAGGAAGGACAGCCTTTAATATATTAGAGCAATATTACATCCTGATTGAGGGCAAACAGTAAGTTTTTTTTCTGGAAATCATGTTTTTCATTCTGTTGAATATTCCTTTCCTAGCATCAGTTTCTTCATATTATGGGCAGGAATTACTGACTACAATCAGACTGCAGCAGCTTGACATTTTCTTCTGTATTCTAGAGTGTTAGGTACTGTGCAATTTTTATGATTAGCAGCCTCATTTTTTTCCAAGCTGTTGCACTAAGAAAGTTGAGACAGCCTGACAAAGCTTCACTGATGGAGTCTGAGGCTGATGGCACACATTGACTTCAAAGTTAGCTTAGGAAAGAATAGGAAGGGAGAGAGTAAAGCAAGGGAAAATTGTTCCCCGGTATCCAGCTGGGAAGAGCAGTGATGGGAATTCTCTAGGGAAGTGTCCTGTCTGGTGTCAGAGATGACCAGCCAACCACACTTCTCAGAGGAACTCTTCAATATTTTTTCATGGGGGCCAACTCAAACCTCCCTTTGGTTCTTCTGCTTATGGTGCTTCCAAAGTTGGTTGGGACACACATGATGATGTGCTGGTGTTTCACATCAGATGTGAAGCTTTATCCACCATATTTTCTATGATATATAAATTAAGGAAATGTGTACTCAATTGGTAAGTGGCTGTTATCTGATGGGGCCTTTACCAAGTGCCAGAGTAATAAATTAAAATCAAGAGGGGAGTGTTGATGAGACAAGGAGGGCCAGGAGGAAGGAGCAGTTGGAATACAGGGGAGAGGCTGTCACAGCAGCCAGGACAGACAGACAAGAGACAGGCAGGCTTCAAAGCAGCCTTTGGGAAGTGTTGACACTGCTTAAGCTTACTTCATAATGCTTAAAAAGAAAGTTCTGAATAGGTGTCTTAACATTTCTATATTGCCAGGTCACAGAATGCCAACAGTAAGCTACAGAAAAAAAAAAAAAAAAAAAAAAAAAAAGACGAGTGTGGTGAGGGGAAGAGGGTTGTTTTTGTTTTTCTCTGGCAGAGAAAATGTTAGTGAACATTTGGAATTAGAACAGAATAATAAAAATAACTCTTTTTTATGATTATGAAACTTTTGATACAAGCAAGTAAAATTTACTAACGTGACTGGTTTTTACAGGCCTAAAACTTGGTCACCTCTTTTTGACCTGTGACTGGGTTACTATTAATGCTCTGAATTTTGGCAGATAAGAGTTTGATAGGTTATGTGCTTCGCTCTGAAGCACATTCTCTCTTTTTTGACTGTGTTGGTGTGGGACATGTTAATTTTGTTCCTTACTGGTGGCTTATACAACAAATTTTATATATACAGAATATTTTGAAAGAGATAATTTCTCATTTACTCCCACTCTGAGATACCTACCAAGAAACAGGTAAATGCTTTTGCATCTCTACATTTCAGTCTACCTGCTGGATTCTCTGACTTTCTGTGTATTTTAACACCATGTAGATTACCAGCTGTTTTTTGCTTTGTTCAGTATTTGCCCCTGAACGTTATTACCAGACCTAGAAATCCCCAACCTGATGTAATTAATTATTTTGAAGTCACTGCTTTAAATGATTCAATTTTCTTCTGTGAGTATTTCTTGATATTTTTCCTGCCAACTTTCAAGATAGTGTAGTGTCTCCTGTCCATTTTTCCATCACAGGGACCACCATAATAAGTCTGTTTGAGCTGAGCTTTCAGCTCAACAATTTAGAAAGGATGGCGAATAAGAGAAGAGTTGAAGGGGGTTAATCACTTTTTCTCACTTTTTATGAGATCCCAGAGAATGTGATTTAGGATACAATATAGAATGACCATTAAAGAGAGATTGTATTTTCCAGACTAGTAAACTGCTGCCTAAAAAATGAATTGGCTTTACTTCCACTGTTGTCAGGTGTGCCCTCAGCTTTGAGAACCAGTCAAACCATGGTAGACTGGAGTTTTACACTGCTTGGCTTAGTTTCTTGTTGTTTTTGTGGATTTATTTGTTTCAGGGGAGGTAGTTTTTTTTTTTTTTTGTTTCTGTCAGGGTATTTAGGTGGTTAGGTTACAGGTGTCTTAAAAACCTAGCTCTTAGACTCTTCTTAAATAAATTTGGCTGATGCTTGTACTATGAAAAAAATGGAGCCAAAAGTACATAAAGCCAATATATACACATTTAAGAAATAATAATGTGAGGATTTTCTGTAGTTAATTTTGTTTTTTGTTAATATAAGGCTGAAGAGTAATGGAAGTGGGCAGTGAAATCCCCAGAACTGCCAGTCACCAGCTAGGTTACCAGTGGCCTTTTGTAAACAAGTATTTCTGCATAATATGAAACAAAATAAGATGTAAATAAAGGAACAGTTTAATCTCTGAGGTTGCAGGTCCCATCACAGTTTCTCTAAGTGTGGATTTGTTGCTTGATATTAATAATTATTGAAGACATTTATATTAATTCACCCCCCAAACTAGACTACAGTTTGCAATTTAGAGGCTTCATTCCTTTTGTGGTAGAACACTATGCATATGTAGAGATTTCTATAAATTTTAAGTATTATTAACAGAACAATAAGGAACAAAGTGGTCTCTTATGTTTGTCTCTTCTGCTCTTTAAGCTACAATTGAAAGGGTTCTACATTGAACGGGGAGGTTTTTGCAAAGATTTACCTGGCAGATCCATGATTTGTGTTCTCATCCCTCTTTTCCCATTTCTACACTTATGGTAAATCAAACATGGACACATTACTGAGCTCTGCTTATGAGAAAGTACTTGAGAATGCAATATAGCTGAAATAACAGCTATAATGAAGGACATAGAAGATATTCTCCTCTTTTTTTGTCTTTTTTTTTGTTAGTTTTGTTTGGTCTGGTTTTATATTTTGTTTTGGTTTTGGGGTTGTTTTGTTTTTGTTTGTTTGTTTGCTTTATTTTCCATCTTTAAGAGGTCATAAGCAGACAGTGCTCTGCTCAGAAGATTTAATCTCTATCTTTAGAACACACCTTGCTCTCCAGACACTTTATTCCTCTTCCTCCGAACTTGCGTTTGTCACTCTTCAAAAAAGTTTTCTGTCTTCACACTCAGGTTTTGGACTTGGTTTCATTTGTCTCAATTCACCCATTTGGTTTCAGTTTCAACTAAATTATGGTATCTCTAGCATAGCATATGCAGGTATCTTGTGACATTTCAGTTCATTCATTATTCTTCACCTGACTAAATTGTGGAACACCTGCCTTTTCACTTGTTCCTCTGTCTGCAGAAGTGCAGCTTCATTACATTCATCACATAGATTTTTGCACTTTTTTTCAAAATATAATCAAATCTCTGTTTTCAATACTGTCTTTTTCTGCAGCAGCTGTATTAGCCTGAATCATTAGTTTCCCACTTTAATATACTTTTTGTCTTTCTATGTTTCTGAAACCCTTTGAAATTCCCTGGTATGTTCACTTGGCATCTGTGCACAATACTGAGATTTTGTAGGAAACTTCTGATTCATGGTGATATTCTTTAAAATCTAACTGTATTTTTGTAACTCCTCCCATACCTCACCAATTTCAATAGCCATTAAAATACAGTACTACAAAACACAGTTTTCCTAATATCATTAAGGAGTATTTTCATATGTATATTGCAATCATTATTAGCTCCTTCTATTTCAGCAGTGCTATGCAAAAATGTAGTTTATAAAAGGAGTTTAGTGTAGTGACAGTATGAGTGGATTCACTCAGGTGATTGTAATAGAAAGTATCCATCAGGATATGGGAAAATATCCTTAATAGGAAATATTGCTTTCACTGTATGATGAACAAACTGGTTTTACTCCAATGTATGCAAATTTTTCATTATTTTTAACTGACCTACCATTCTGATGTTTTTCATTAGTCGATCACTGCACAAGGCAGGAATTTTCACCTGGATGAAAATATTCCTGGAAACAGGTGTTGTTGGATTTTACTCATTCTCAGAACTATCATGTGACAATACCAATGCTAATGCAGACAAAGCAAGAAAGTTTATGAAAAGGTCGAGTCAGTATGGAAAAATCATCAGCCTCAGAGCTGATAACAACTAAATTTTTGCAGCAATGCACACAAGGGAATTTAGTGTATCCTTTATTTTCTGAAGACTGGGGACAAATAAAAAGTCGTAGAGTACATGATTGGTCTCTGAACTCTCTAAATTAGTTGCTATTTTCTCTGAAACCTGTATCAGTGAAGAACAAGATGCTTCAGCAAAGAGCCTAAATATAAGCTGCTGAGTATTGTGCAGCTAAGAAGTTCTACTTGCAGGTATTATAAGTTTGTCTGGCTTTAAATTTTCCCATATGGTTTTATGGGAAAAAACATAGACCCGCTGATTGGGTCTATGTTTCTGTAGGGGTTGGATGGCCAGGATCTGTCTCTCAAGAGATATTTGAGCCATGCTATCAGTGTCTTGTAAAGGTAGGACTGCATGGATTCTTGCTGACTGTTATTGGCTCTCCTTTGAACAAGATGAATTTTTGTTTGACAATATATATTGTTTTATCCTTCTACCTATTAATAATTGTGTAATTTCTATTTGTATAAAAAAATTAAATGTGTTATACACTCAGAGTAGTGATTGCAAAGGTAAGAACTCCAGGTTTATGAAATGCCAGAATTAAGTTTGCAATCTAAGTCCTCATTTGCTCTCTACATATAGATATCTTAATTACCTGAACTATGAGAAATTACAAGAATCCTTTTTCATCTAGAACACCATCCTAAAGATTTGCATGTATCCTCTCACAGGTGCAGACATAGTACTTCTTATATTCTCAATGATGTTTATATTCTTGCATGCAACCTGGTTTGCAAAATGTTTCCAAATTGCTACAATTAGTGTATATTTTGTTAAATAACTAATGTGTGATATAAACACAGCTGGACTCTCAAACAATTCAAGAATTGGTTTAATGGCAAGTTTGTTTGAATGAATATTGATCAAAATGTAATTGACATGTCTGTATAAAATAAACTTCTTACATAATTTATTTTTAGCATTTTATTATATAAGTTATTAGCCTGCTGTTCTATAAAATAAAACCCAGTATTTGAGCAAAGAATAAATTGAAGCCAAAAAGTTTAAAAGGATTGACCACAAAATTCTCTAGATACACTTGATGGAAACATGATAAGGAGTAATCAAAATTACAAAAAGCCTAAGTACTCAGAACTCCAAAATTAGATTAATGTTCATAACCTCTGTAAAGTCAGCTCCAAATCTTTGTGCATCATGTTCATACAGACTTTAGGCAAATAATACAAGAGTCTGGGAGAATTGAAACAAATATTTTCATCTTTACAGAAAGATAAGGAAGACCAGTGGCTAGAGAAAAAAGTGCAGGGTAGTAGAGACCACATCATCTTAGAGCATCTTCAGTGGACCATGGGTTACGAAGTACAAATTACAGCTGCCAACAGACTGGGTTATTCTGAGCCAACATTGTATGAATTCAGCATGCCACCAAAGCCCAACATTATTACAGGTAAGTTAATTTCATTGTGTTTTCTCTCTATGAATTATTTCTAACTCATAGTACACTGTGTATATTTTAGCATAACGTAACTGAAGTCTTGGACTAAAAAATGTGAGACCCCAGATTTTAATATCAGCAAAAAAATTTATTTGGGACACTTAAATGGGACCCTGTGTCCCACTTTTCTCTTAGTAATAAAGTAATTTTTAAGTTTGGAAGGAACATTGATTCTTAAACCCTGTTGATGACACTCAACAAGAAATACCATATTTAAGATACACCTGCTTTTCCAGTTGCCTTGTACTGCCTGTTGTCTGGTTAAGCCAATTTTCTAGAATTCTTTACTTAATTTCCATCTCTACATGTGCTTTGAGCTACACATGCAATAAAGGGTTTACTTTAGTGTCTGATGAGGTTAAGACTTTAAATAGTCTTGTTTAGATACTGACTGGATGATTCACCCTAACAGAGTGACCAAGCAGTCTTGTATGAGGCTGATTTACAATGTTTGAAATCTATAGAAACTTTGTTCTTATTTTTAAGCCTGTAAATAGGAAGGTTTGAAATTCCATTTAAGAAAACTGCATTTTAGTTAAGAGTGAGTGTATGACTTTTAATGATTCCCTATAAAAGGTTGTTTTTTTAATACAGCACTGAAAAATTCTTTAGTTAACAATAAACCTAAAATAAGGTATTTTCTAGAGTATTATGAGTAATTTTTATTTTTATTAAGAAAATGCTATGAGGAAAAGATTTTAAACTTTTAATTAAAATTATGAGCAACATCTTTATGATTATTTCCAGATTAGATCAGTATCATCATTACCACTTGAAAAATCAAGTTCTAACTCCTCTAGCGTGGTATTTTCTGACTACCATTTTTCAAATTGTTACTGTATTAGAATCAACAAAGAACTTGCCAAATAAATACAATGGCAAATATATTAAAATGTAAACCTTATTTATACCTGTATTTCAATCTCAATACTTGACTAGCACTGATACAATGCCAATGAGCTGGAATGAGTCATAAAAATTTTGAAATAACTGGGGTTTTTTTCCTCGTTTATTATAATTTTCCTTCCAATATATTTTCAGGAAATTTATCCCAAGATCTCTGCAACATGTTTGAATATTCCATAGAAATCTTTTTAATATTGGAAGCATCCTTACCTTTTATTTATTATATAGAAAAGAGATTTGTAATTCATTCACAGACTCAGATCCAGTTCTAGTACAAATATTTGTTTATGCACTTGAATTGAAGTAAAGTTGATTTGCATCTTGATTGAAATTTAGGGTCTCAATAGGTTCTGTGTATTTGTTTTTAAACAGGCGGGACCTTGTGATTGCTATCATTCAGAAATAAAATTTCCTGTGATTGAAAAAGAAAAAGGAGAAAAAATGTAGGGAAATTCATTGTCCTGAGGAAATAAAGATATCTGTCAAGTAGAAAAATAAGCAAAAACTTACTGAGGGGAGGAATAAGCCACTTTTCAATTTTGCATAGGTGAGAAAAAAATATTATTTCTTTTGCAATGAATTCCAACTTTAGCCTTTTATATTTATGTAAACTATTCTGTACTATTGCCATAGCTGCTGTAGCACAGAAACTTAATTCTCCTCAGTAAATGATACCATAGGTGGTCTCTAGACATTCAAGTAAAAAGTAGCTTAGTTAATTTAATTTCAGAAGGAAGATAGGGCATTTCTCTCTAAAAAGAGTTTTATAGGTGCTTAGGGGCTTTTTCCTTTCAGTGCTCTAACATAACCTCTAAGTAGTTGTAAGAACTCTGTTACACTATTTAACTTCAAGTCTTCTTTATATGAATCATTACTGCAATTATGATTGTGGAACTAATTAGTTTCCTTGACAACTGTTTTGTCAATGCCTGAAAAAGAGTGTGAAATTCCCATCACAAGAACATTCTGTAGGCAATTTTTTAAAGTATGTCAGAAGACATTTTGAATCAGTGGAACATGAGTCTTCATATTCATGAGTCAGCATGATTATCTTGTTTTGAAATGACATAATATTATAACTATGATATAACATTATATACATATATACATAATGCTGCAAAAATATGAGTGTAATCTATTAAAACACAATAGAGTTTATGTATAAAATGCTTAGGTTTGAGCAGAAATATTCTTTCTGATGCCAGTTAACACCAATGATGCACTATTTTTTTGAGTCTTTGGTATTAACAGCTAGGTGTCTACAGATAAATTTTAAACAAGACATAGGCAATAAGGATGAAACTGGGTAGACTTCTGGATGAAATCTTCATCATTTGTCCTGTGCTCTCTCAGTAGCTACAGTCATTGACATTTCCTTGCATATTATTAATGCAATTGTTAGAAAAGCCTCTAAGACTCCTGAAGGTGTTCATCTGTATTTGCCCAAATTTGTGACACTTCAGCTGAACTGAGTGTTTATGTCTGGTCCTAAATTTAATGAGAAATAAATCTGCAGACCCTGTGTATGCAATCTCATGAATATTACTTATCCCAAGCATATCTTGTTGGTTAACTACATATAAAAAATACCCTGGTGAAGTGTAGCAAGCTAATGCAATAAATCAGGGAGGTTGAAACAAGACTGAAGGGAGATGGAAGCAAGGACATGTTGGCTGCCCTTCAGTGTGCACTTAATAGGGGAATAGGAGTAGTCAGAAGAAGTAAAACCCTGCTTCTAAATTCTCCAGAAGGAGCTTGTTTGTGGTTTCAAAAGCCATTGGATATCAGGCAGAAGTAGCAATCCCTGGGGACAGGAACTGGGAGCCAAAACTCCACTTATGTGAATATACAGCTCCTGTGGGCACTGAATGCACAGCTTCTGCTTCCTAGTGAAGTGTGCAAGTACCAGCTCCTGGCTGCAAGTCAAATCCCGTGGCAGCACAAAATGATGATCTTCCAGTAATAGTCTTAGGTCTGGGAAGGAGCTTGAGGCTGCAAATTGCTCTCTGGCATCAGGAAGGTGCATAAATGAGACAGACATTCCCTTAAATTTTCATATGGTTGGCCTCAGCAGCCTCCAAATGTAGATCTACTTATTTCGTGATGTATCTTCCTAGGCGTGTGACACAGTATCCATTCAATGAGCCGCTCATATTTGTGATTAGTTCCTTACAATTTGTAATCCTTATAATAAAAGTGTCCAGGTTTTCTAAACATTTCATCCATGGAAACTTGCACTGACTTCAAGAAATTCCTGCAAAACATATTCTTAAAACATTTTGAGTTAAATAACTGTATGTATAAAATTATAGATATATATCTATATATATGTGTGTGTGTGAATGTTTATATATATATATACACATATATATATGTATATGTATATACACACACACACACCATTTTCCTTCCTACTTTTCTGAGTTATTTTTTGTGGTCACAATATCTGAATATCACAATATCTGAATTTCACATTTCACTTAGGCATATGGACATGTATTTTAGACTCATGCTTGGAGAAAGAGTGACACAGTCTTAGATGTAGTATTCTATGTGTTCCAAAATCTCACTAGGGATGTCAGATAGCAATGCTTGCAGGCAGGTACAACTCTAACCTCAGTGTGTTTGCCTCTGAGTAAAGTATTTATCACACTTTTAGTGCTGATTTGTAATGTTTTATAAAATTTGCTTCTGGTTTATCTATACTGCTAAGCTTCTAGCTCTGTGGGATTCTCAAAGGAGCAGTGTGCTTTAGCTCTTCATCCACATTAGGAGAGCATGCACTGACCTCTTCAGTCATAAAAGCCCCTGGGAGCAGCTCAAGTCCATTAGCTCCCAGAGATGACTCTACAGCCCATTTTTTGGGCCCTTTCATTCTTTCTCTGCAGTGAGAAAACAGAGATCCTGTCTTTGTACCCCACAGCTGGTCCAACAGTGTACAAATCTGCTGTCATCCATTACAGCTGCAACCTAAAAACACATGTACAGGTTAATACTGAATCTCAAAAGAAGATTGAATGGAAGGTGCTAAAAAAGATCCTTTCTGCAAGTGTTAAATATATTTTCAGGAATTACCAGCAGATTTATGAAAGTGCCGTTTTCCAAAGGCTCTTATCCAGTCAGTGCTGTTACTTTGAAAGGCCAGTAGATATATTAAAAATGGTTGCAAGCTGTGTTTTATCACAGTTTTTTTTCTTCTTCACTAAAATTTAATTACTTGGTGCAATAGTGGGAAAATGAAAAAAAATATTTGGATATAACAAGAACCTCTTAGATCTATTTTTCTTACTTTGTGATATTGGTTGTTTGAGGTTTTTTTGGTTGGTCGGTTGTTTTTTTCCAAAACTGCCTGAACTGTGAGTGTAATTTTTTATTGTCTGAAAATGTTTTAATCCCTTGAACATCTCATTTATTTTTTTCTGTGCATGTGTATCACCACACTTTAAATCATGTACTGGGAGGCAAAAGAGGAACAAAAATACATAGTATTTTCTCTCATCACTACCAATGGCAAAGATGATAATCACCATGATTTTTATCAGTAGTTTTTCCAGAAACACAATGGGATCTGCAGTGCTCTTGACATGAATGAAAAATAAAAGCAGCTCTTATCATTGCTTGAAGTATGTGTGTATATGTTTGGATTTGCATTTACATATATACATTTTATGATGTATTACTAGAGCTTTTGAGCTATATGGACAGTGTTCTGTTAAAATGGAAGCTAGAATTAGGTTTTTCAGACAGAAACTCAAAACTACTAATTTTGAAAAAATTAAAACAGAAACAAGTTGTCCTGATTCTCACAGTTTTCTTGCAGGGCGAGTATTTTGCTTAAATTTTGCTCTCAGTCAAGCAATCAGGTGACCTTTTGAGGGTAGAAATAAATGCTGTATGATCCCATCTGTGTATCTGAGGTATGTTTTTTTTTTTTCTGCCACCTCTTGCAATCCCAGAGCATATTCCCTTTCTGGACCCTATCTCTCACACCCCTTCAATCCATGGGCTACGTGGATGCCCTGGCATAGTTTCCCAAGCTCTGAAGG